TAGATCAAAAACAATTCCAGTGCTAGTGTGATGGTTCTTGTTAGACATCATATATCAATCGATAGACAAATACTTGCTCTATTCCGGAAACTAAAATGCAGTTCTGTTCGATGTCGAGAAGTTGATTTATTAAAGGTTTATGGAAGAAGTCTTGTTTTTACGGGTACTGTATACATTCGTACAACATTCCAATTAACTTTTTACCTTTCTTTTGAATACGCATAACAACATAAAATAGGTGTGTACGTTCGTTAACCTGTGCATAATTAATTTCTTCTTCGATTGATTGGGCACACTCTGAAGAACATGCCTACGAACATGACAAAAAAATGAATGAAGCAATGTGATGCTTTTGCTTTTATATTTTCTCATTCTCCTGATTACTATTGCGTACATTTTTCGTATATTATAAATAGTGGTAAATAACACTATTGAAGAACTGAAAGTATTTATTTTTGAAAAAATTACATCAAACAAACAACAACGTGATAGTGATATAAAAATTTTCAGAAAAGGTCGGTACAACTTTTGCATTTTCAAAGAAAAAATAGTTAACATAGATACACAACAATCATAAATTAGTTAAATAAGTCGATATTGGCATTATGTAAAGCAAATAACACTCATTTTTTTGGTGGAAGTTTTGTTTATTATCGTTGTTTGCAGTATAGGAACGTAATAAAACTAATGTTTGATATATCTACCGGTAAAAAGAACCAATTAAAAAAAAATCCAAGAGATAGTTTTCATAACTCTGGAAGATAAGCTGTTGTAGTTCATAGAAAAAATTAAACTAATAAAGTCTCAAATACGGAACAGTAAAACGCGGCAACGCTTGTTTTCTTTTTCATTGATTCTTATTTTCATTAAAAATGTTTATTTTAAAGGAAATAACTATTTCGCAAATTTATATTATACTTTTCAATGGCTGAGGGGTAGGTATTTTTTCAATTAAGACTAGTCAAATAAGGATTATATTTATGTGTTGCACAGATCAACATATCAAAACGAACCAACAATAATCAAGAAAACTTTCTTATTCAGTCAAAAAACAAATAAACGCTTTCGTCTAAATGGTATTAAAGAATCAAGTCAACTCCCGGAAAAAGCCTCTCTACGTAAAGACTTTTCCAATCATATTATCTATCAACCATCACAACTACCACCAAAAGTTGACCTTCGCCCATGGATGACAAAAGTTGAAGATCAATCAGATGCCAACAGTTGGTAAGTGACACAAGAAGTATAAATACTTAAAATGTTTTTTTTCAGAGAATTATAAACGAATACTAGCTATTCTCTCAACATATCGATTCATAATTCCTAAACGAGAAGTCTTACAAAGCTAATATTTTCAGGTCTTTCTATCAGTTGAAAGAACACAAAATTATTCTCACTCAGCATTCGGTCATTTATTGTAAATAAATAATATGTATTCATGTCATAACTATAATCACATCTACGCCCATTTTCCATTTCGACGCAATAAGCATTTTTGCAACAGTATAAAAAAAAGTTGTTTTAACAATTAAATAGATGTGTTTCCTTTCAAGAAAACTTGTCCACACTGTCTTTTTTGTCTATTTTTAGTACGGCAAATGCTTTGGCGGGAATTTATGAATACCTAAATAACAGAGATACAGGTTCTCAAATTGATGTTAGCCGCCTCTTTATCTATTACAACAGCCGTGTTAAAGGTCTCGATGCTGATGAAACGATTTCTGATGATGGTGCTGCTCTTTGCGATGCAATCGAAAGCATGGAAGAATTAGGTGTGTGTCCGGAATCGCAATGGCCTTATGATCTGAAAAACGTAAATGTCAAACCATCTCAACAATGTTACATTGTAGCCGCAAACTATACTATTTCTCAAGCACTGAAACTCAATATTGATATAAATGAAATAAAGATTTGCATTGCTCAAGGATTTCCTGTTATCATTAGTCTAAATTTGTATACATCATTCGACAAAGCAAGTAATAGCGGAATTGTTTCTATGCCGAAAACAAGTGAAACTTCACGATCAGATCATGCACGGTAAATATATATATTTATATTTTAAAAAGAAACTTTATGTGGTCTTACACATGTTTTCATTCGAATTTTTCAGTATTTTTTAAGATTTGCCGCTATATTCATTTCATGAAACATTATTGGTAATCATTGTTAGGAGTTTCCTTTCATTTTGCATTTAAATCTTGTAGGGATTACGCTGAAAGCTTTTAATTATTATTTGACTCCGCATGACAAAAAAAATCACGTATGAATTGGGTCTTTAAAAGTAGCCAGATGTTTTGCTTACTTATTCTCGAGAAAAGATATATAAGTTCTGAATAGAGCACGTGAGGCGTCATAATCATGAAGCAGAATGATAGAGTTAGATTTTCTCTATCAAAGATACAATAAGTCCGTCTTTGTTTCAAATGAACAGTAGTCTCAATTGACGATTGTTGTATGGAAAATCATGAAACCTCCTAAGAAAATCCAAGATGTGTTCCCTCCATTTTAGACACGCTCTTCTGGTAGCTGGTTATAGTGATGCATCGGAAGCATTCATCGTACGAAATTCATGGGGAGAAGATTGGGTGAGTTTACCAAACGACTGTTTGCATTCTTCATCTTTATTTTTATACTTTTTAGGGTGATAAAGGCTATTGCTATATACCATATGACTACATAGGAAGTGATAAATTGTGCAACTCTGCATGGACTGTGAAAAGGTTAGGTGTTGATTACATGGGAAAAGAGGCATGGCACGTAGATGATAATATCAATTATCGGCAAGGTGCATACTATATCGATGAATACGAAGATGGGGATGATGCTATTAGAATTGAAGAAATCGAAGAAGAAGAAGAGTATTATTATCAGAATCCCGTTACGAACGATGGTGCTGTCGATGATGGCGATGGTGAAAATCTCAAGAGTACTGAAGCTGACGATGATAACGATGATGATAAGGGTGAAGATGGTAAGGGTGATGATAAGGGCGAAGATGTTGAGGGTGATGATGATGATAAGGGTGATGATGATGATAAGAAGGATGATGGTGAAGATGATGATAAGAAGGATGATAGTGAAGATGATGATAAGAAGGATGATGGTGAAGATGATGCTGCTGATGATGGTCACGGTGATGATGCTGAAGGTAATGATGCTGACGATGGTGATAATGATGGCGGCGAAGGCGATGGTGCCGAAGATGATGGTGATAACGAAAATGGTGACGATGGGGATGGTAACGATGATGGTGAAGGTGATGGTGACGATGGGGATGGTGACGATGGTGGTGAAGGTGATGGTGACGATGCCGATGGTGACGATGGTGGTGAAGGTGATGGTGGCGATGCCGATGTAGATGGTGATGATGCCGATGAGGGTGGTGATGATGGCGAAGGTGATGGTGACGATGCAGATGGCGACGATGAAGATGAGGGTGGTGACGATGGAGATGAGGGTGGTGACGATGGAGACGAGGATGGCGATGATGGGAACGAGTAGAAGAACTGAAAAAAAGGACCTGTTGTTTATATTATTTGTTGGGTAGTCTTGTACTAAACGACTAGAAAGTTTCGAAATACAATGTAGTACCTAGCTATTGAACAAACATGAATTGAGGACGAGTGGAGTGAGGATGTTAGTAAATAATAACAAGAGTCACACTCAAACATTCTCGAATTGCATGTTTTGTAGAATAAGTTGGGCTCTACAAGTTGAGACATCAACAAAGATTTTAATTTTTATTTTCGCATCCTAATAGTGATAATTTGCGGACATATTTTTGTCTAAACTATATTTTTAGAGCCTTTCAAAGATTCAACTGCAGTTATTAGGATTCATTCTTGTTTTTCAGAATATATTGTCATTTGACGGATTGCCTAAATCAGGATACCAATATGCTTGCGAAGGACACGATCTTGTGTCGTTTACATTAATTGCTGACTTCATTGAAATAAATTATATTTATTCTGAAGTTTAAACTACAATACAACAACAACAGTTAATCATAGTTTTGCTAGAATAATAAAAGGATGATACTGAATTAGCATGACATGGTGAATAAAATTGATCGGATCGGATTGCATTTAAAAGATTTTCTATAATTGTATCATCAGGAATTAAACAATCGGATCGTTAATGTTATATTTTTGTCGTAGAACATTTATATTACGTATATGATCTAGCTTGAAAAGAGAAACTTTTGTAAATATATTATGCAGCAAGAATATCGAATACAGTTTTCTTTTAGCATAGAACTATATTATCTATATCTTGACCTGTGTAACGGCAAATGCGGATGAGTGCCTCATCTCTCTCTCCTTACACACGCATTCTATAGATACAAATACAGGTCAAGCGGTTACATATGAGCGTTATTGAAAGACGCTATTTCTATATAATGACCTTACATTATAAAAATAATCGACTGACAGGTCAATACATGTCTGTGTCTAGAACACAAAGGGATTAGATACTTTGTTCAATTGTTATCTGTTCATTTATAAAGACGAAACATTCACAAAATTCATTAAATCGAAACACATATATATTTATAAAAATTGCATTATCAAAATCTGCTTCAATGAAACGACGGGAACCATCATGGATTCCACTTGTACTCATACTCACCACAAGTTGTACGATATTAGTTTGTATAATCTGTCGAACAAACGACGAATACTCAGCATATCGCCAAAGTGATACTATTGTGAAGAAGTTTACTATGGAAACAATTTGTCGGATTGATCAGATTGTTTTGCACCGTGAAAAATACAAACAATCATCGATGATTATTCTCAATAGCACTTTTCTTATTTCATTCGAAGTCATTTCAAATGGCAATAGTACAAGAGTACAAGCTGAACATTGGGCAGTACCTGTACCTTTTAAACCAGATCTTGTGAGTATAAATGATTAAAATATCATTTTATTTTCTTTCTTTTTCTTTTCAGATAAATAGCACCTATCGATGTTTTATTGATCCACTTGATACTCAACAACAACCACTGATAGAAATACCAGATATTGTATCTATTCGTCATGATTTTATTTGGTATACATTAATACCTAATTTGACATTTATTGTGTTATTGACCATAATACTTTTACTTGTTATCATTCTATTTTTGATGTATCCTCCACGACGTTGGTTTAGACGCGCACGACAAAAACAGCCTGAAACAACAAAAGCATAACGTGACTAAAAGATTAACATTCTGATTATCTCATTCTCTTCTTGTTATAATAAATAATGAAATAAAACTTTGAAATAATATGTATCATGTTTTTCTTATTTACTTTAATTCTAAGAAAAGAGCAAACACTTTTAATCACATATTCTTTACACCAACGACTAATTCGATGATTCCATGTGTCAGCATTAAAAACTTTTACCTTTATCAACGCACATTCCTTGAGAACTAGTTAGTTCATTAAATTCGTCCCATTGTCTATTTCGTCTTGTGATAGTCTCACTTTTTGCAAATTGAATTGAAATTTTCTTCTCGAATTCATTTAAATTCATTAATTATTTCAATATTCGAAATATTGGTAGTCGTATATTTCATAAGTTGTTCTCAATATTTTTGTGCTGTTGATTGAATTATTTCAATTGATGTCTTTCCTAATTTTGTCAGCGTTATCAAACGAACATTTTGTGCGATCATTTATTCAGATAGAAATTTTCACCATCGTTGGAAAAATATGAAATATTAATTTTCCTAATGGGCAGCGTCCATCCAGATCATTCTATTCGATAAATCATATTAAATAAGTTATTTCAATACGTTGTAAAATATGCATGACTCAGTTTCGCTAATATACTCACACAAATATTGAGCTATTTGCATAAATTCGATATGTTCCATTCATTCAATACTGTCAATCAATGTTTTTAAAATCTAATTCAGTTTTATCTCAAGAAAATCGATTTAATTAATTCAACTTATCTTTCTTTCGACACTGGCATTTTTGCATTACATATATTCTCTCTACAAATTTTTAGTCAATACGATCTTCAACTGATTAATTTAGAATCACTTTCATTAAAATCAGATGATCAGATATATTCTTTTTGGTTAAAACAATATCTAATAGAAGTTTTATCATTATCATTATTAACAATACTTGCAATCGATAAAGCACGACTTTCTGATCTAAAAACTATTTCTTCCTCTGCATTTCATATATTTACAAAAATTAAATTTCTTCGAGTCGTGGTTTATCCATAGTCTTGATCGTCCTCTTATTGCTCCAATATCAAAGATAGCAACATATTTATCAATAATAACATATCTTAATTCATCTTCAACGGATTCATTCGAGATACGTGTAACTTTGCGAAATACATCGATAAAATGCATCGTAAGGTAAACTTTTTTATCTTTTATGCTTTCCTATTGATGAATCATAAATGTTTGTCGTCGAAAGATTTTTACAACAGAAATAAATAGTTGTCGGTGAAATAGTGTTATAAAACATATTTCAAATGAATAAATCATGTTGCAAATTTCTTAACGACTATTGGCTTCTCATATTATTTTCAGTGATCGGTTGCATATTGTATGGTCCATGGATTATCTGGGGTTCGATTGCAACAGCAAAGTATGCCAAAATACGACACTCACAACATCTCTATGATAACACGAGTTGCTTATTATTGAACTACACAATAGAAACACATAAATGTTTGGATTGCTCAGGAGACAGTTGTGATCGTGTTCCTTGCTATGATGAACATTTTTGGGTATCATATTTAATTCATGATGGAACATTGATTAACAGCATCATCTTTACCAAAGATAAAACTTCAAAACATAGTCAAACACAAGTATAGACACGTGTTCTTGTTCTTTTGTACAACTACACTATACTTTCTCGTTTTATTTTACAGCTTGATAACTACTATTTATGCTTCTATGATAAAACACATGTCACATCATGTATCTGGGAAATTCCAAGTGGTAAATCTTATTTGATACAATTGTGTACTGCATTCGCAATCCTTTGTGTATTGCTTCTGCCAACATTATTCACAGTATGGTACTTTGATCTAAGAAGGAGACGTTGCGATTGCACATTGGCGTCATGCGCCGCTGAAGAGTTTTTCGAAAATCATTGTCATTGCAAAAGGATATTACAAATAAATATAAAGGAATGTTCAGATTTGTAACATATCATAAGTACTTAATAGTTTGAGAACATCAATGTGAATGAATCGAAAGCTATTGGTATCGTCGGATTAATATCCACCCCTCACTCTCAAAAATACCATCAGTATTAAATTTTCAATAATTCAGCAATAAGAATACGTTTTTCCTTTTGCTCTTTTTTCAATCAACACAGTTCAAAATGTCATTTCCATGATTATAAGAACAAAAAA